GCTACATTCCCCTGGTAGCTGGGGTCAAGCAAGCATCACTCTGACATCCAGAGCCAACATTTACCAATAGCGTCTCTGAAAAGTTGAAGATGCAGGCAACAAATAACGGCACACAGCTGTGACTGTCTGTAACGCAAGTTGCGCCGCAGAGCTGGCCAGGCTGCAGGGCCGGGCTCACCAGCTACCTGAGCAAATGCTAAGACCTGCCTTATCACCTAAAGGCATCGGATGAGGCTGAACATGAGCACAATTTACCTCCTGCTTCCTAAACATAGCTGATTTCCACAAAGATGAAATTAAACTTCCTTCTGTATGTATGAAAAGACTCCCTCAAGCTGAAGTGGTTCGCTAATTAAAATAGCTCTTTGTCCAAGGTTAGCAAGTTAAAAAATAGTTGTCACAAATCTACTAGGCGTTGTGAAGGGAGACAAGAGATGTACAACGAACATGTCTTCAAATCTCTTGCTGAATCTCCATTAATCCCCTGCCTTCCAGGTATCAGAGCAGTCATGCTGGCCTGGGGATCTGCTTCCAGCTGGTCAATAGCAACAGGAAAAATCTTTAAACCTCCTTTTGACCCAGACCTAAGTCATGCAGAATCTGCATCTCGCAGACCAGCCCTCGGTTCTCCCAAGACTACCTGCTGCAAACCGGCGATACCGTACGCAGAGCCAGTGGGACTGCGTGATGCAGGAAGTATTCTAACGTCTGGAAGCACCGCTGCCTCCCAGCTCCCATCACTTATTAATGAGTTGTTATTCATTGCTGAAATGCTGCCCATTTGTGTCATACAGGCAGTCAGGCAAGATGATCACATTGGTCCACAGCAGCTTTAGCCTGTGAGTGAGGCAGGGAGCGTGAGCCACACTGATTTCCACAGGGTGAAGAATCTGGGAGAGCTGCTTCTAATCTTCAGGTGTAACCACATGCACTGACAAAAGAAAAGTGACTTTCCCTAACTCTCTCCTCAGATATTGTGTGACTGCAAAGCCCACCACATCCCGTCTCCAGGCTGGTAGCTTTTGCTGCACACATTAAACCTCTCACAAGGAAAGTCAAAGGAAAGAATGGGAAATAGCTTTGTATACCGCGTTTCCTCCTCCTCTTCTGCTGAATGGGAGAGGCAGGGTTTGCAGAATTCCTTTCTTGTGTTAGGCTGTACCTCTTCTCCGGAGATTTACTGCTTGTTCCAGAAACATTCAGGTTAGGAGGAGGAGGAGGCGGTCTGAGACATGGGAGGTGAGGAATATTCAGCCTCTACCCGGTTGTATGCCCCAGGTATTCCCTGATCACCATACACACACAGCTTTTTTGCATGGCAGTGCAGATGTGCTTGTGTGTGCACCATTTTCCTGAACGGGTTCTGATAATCTTTCCCAAGCCATTGTACTTCTGAGCTCCTCACAGCTGAGAGCAGGTGAAGATATTTTAAGAAAAAAGAACACGCTTTTTAACAGAAAAAGACTGTTTTAACAAAAACCAACCACACACTGTAATTACATGAAGGTACTTCTTGTAATAATCTAGACTCCTCTTTTTGCTGTTACTTTGAAAGTCTGCCATGATTACAATGGAATATTATGCAAGACTGGCACAGTTTATGTTTCATAAACATATGTAAAAATATATTATGCTCTATCCAATCCAGAATTGCATCCCAGATATGTTCTTGCAATGTCCAAATTAAAAAAAAAAAGTAATGATACCCAAAGGCCATAAGGAAATCCAAGAGGCCTGTGGGCATGCAGGAATTTATGTGCATATAGCAACTCACATTAACACTGATGGGAGTTAAAGCACATCAATCTTTTGTACACCCAAATGAGAACACCATGAACCAATTCTTTCCTGACTTATATCCAGTATTGATGGAGGTGACATAAGGCTGCAGAAGGTGCAGATCGAGGAAGAATCCGAACCTCTGGCTATTACTCTATTTAATCCTTTTAAATCTGCTCTGCCACCACCATCAAAAATAGCCTGATCTCATGCCACCAGTGTCCAGAGGATGGGGATGGAAAATGAGGATCTGTTTTATCATTTGGTAACACTGCCACAAAGCAGGGGACTCTGAACAACCAGGCCTTAAAATGAACTGGATAAAATGGACTGTTCATCCTTCCTCTGAGGCCCCATGCAAAGTACATATGAAACAACAGCAGACATGGGTTACAACTGCTATTTAGGGGGTAGAAATAGGAACATTTGAAGGAATAAACGTATTTTCTTCCTCTTTCACCTGTTTCATAGTTCAGATAAATTTAAAGCCTGAGTATGACCCAGTCCCACACAGGCCCATGTTCTTTGTAATATATTGTCGAAAAGCAGAGTAAATTAATAAACCGCAGAGCTCACTACTGTTACTGCTGTAGCTAAACTGCTTTTGATACATGAGCTAGCCTCATACATTGTAATAGTCATGATTTACCCTATAAACGTTTCCAGTGAAATATATGAGAGTTCAGATATGTTTTCCCTTCCAGCCAGAGGAGCCTCTCTGTTCTTCGGAGCCTGTCTCCTAGAAGGTGTTTAAAAATAAAAGATGCTGCACCGCCGCTTGTGACTGGCCTTTAAGAAGTTACGCCCCTGCATAGACCGAACACTGCCCTTTGCAGCTCTTCCAGAGACAAAAACTGAGCAGCTTTGACAGTGTAACTCCATTAAAAGAGCTTATTTGATCAGTCTGGCTTCATGCTTAAACTGCTTTTGGTCTCACTACCCCTGCCATCTGCTTTCTCATGACAGCAGTTCTGCCACCCTGCTGGGATTTGCCTTCACTGCTGGTCAACAGGAGCTTCTCTACAGAGAGAAGAGCCAGCCTCTTTGGGAAGGCCTGCCAGGGACGCACAGGTCAGCCAGATGCAGGACCACTCATTTGCCTTAAACTCTGGGGCTACGCAGACTCCCAGCTCTGATATACAGCTGCTGCGTGAAACTAGCAACTCCTGTCCCTACCCAATGCCTCAGTTTCCCCTGCTGTAAATTATGGTTAGAGAAACTTGTTGTCCCTGTAGAGCACACATACAACATATGGTGCAGGAATAAAATACCACCGTTTCCAAATGGGAAGGACCTAAGTCTGGTAAGATACCACCAGTATCTCTGACTTCACATGACATTTCACTGCGCAGAGCCTCTGCTCTTGCTTTGGAGACAGCTGCAGAAAACACATGCGTTTACAACAGCAGAGATAAGGAAAGCACATATGAAATACATGCAAGTGAAGGAAATCCAAAATCAAATTACATTCATGGGAGCAAGCTGAGAAGTCAGCCACAGACAAGCTGTCAAAATGTCCTGACATAACTGGAGAAATCTCTTGGTTGATCCTGCCGTCTATTTATGTATTGGGGCTTATGCAAATCAGGAAAGCTCTGTGCATCTGAGGTACTACTGTATTTCCACAATCATAAATAAACCCAACCTTGTTTTGTATATGATCTGACTTCCTGTTCTGGGTTACACAGGGAGGAAGCGTAACACTAGATCAAGTTGCCTGTGGACTATGTATGGCCAAAAGCATTATAAATCTATGGGCAACTACAAACTCTCTGCTACCAGTGGAAAGTGAACAGAGTTTTAAGCAGACTCTAGCTCAGGCATAGTGGACATGTAACTTCTAATATTTCTGTAGATTTAGGCCCCTGCCCTAGATTGTATTCCTGCCTACTTTTAAGTCAATCTTTGTTGGATTTTGCTTGTCCATTGCCGTTTCGAAATTCACATCCTTTGAATGAAGTCAGAAAAAAACCCACGACTTCAATGTCAGCTGGCCTTAAAATGTTTAGACCATGTGGTTTTAATTTCTCAAATGACCAGCTCTGTCAGAGTTTTCCTTCCCTTCCCTGTATCAGCAGGGTGACAATGTTTTGAACACTTCTGAGCCAGCCCCTAAAAGCATAGAGAAACGATGTGGTCTGAAAGCCAACCCATACTACAAGAACCGCAATTGAAGTGCATAAATCAGCAATTAAAGAGTTACTAAGCGCAAACATCCAACCACTGTTTTTACAGTATATCTACTCTTCCAATCTTTAGAAAGAACAATATACTGAATTAATGCCCAAGAAATAACCTTTTAAAATTTGGCAAGGTAAAATAACTGATTTAAAGTTCTTTTTATATTGGCCTTTAAAATTAGCAAATTTGACTATAGTCAATGAAATACCCCACTTTAACATCAGCTGAAGACAAAGTGGATCGGTAATCCTGGCATCGCAACAAACATTACACTGGTTTTCTTCCAGTGGTCTTATGGGATCATAAAGGCTAACGACATTAAGCTTCCCGTTAGTTAGGGCTAGCTGATGAAAAAATGTTCCTTGAGAGAATCTCTCCCAGTTTTAGGACTAGGCGTAAGCTCTAGGAAGCGTACTCCAGGCAGGAAAATGAGGGGAGATATTTCTTTCTTTCTCAGTTGTTTTACCCTTTGAACTATCCTGAACAATTCCTTTCTGCATGCTGACCGCTTGTGAAGCGGCTGTCGTGTCATCCGTCAGAGCCTAAGTTGCACATGTTCCGCAAAACCCGTGAATCAAGCGTAGGGACGGTACAAAGCTCCGCTCTCCCCTCGCATCGCCTGCACCTGCTGCTTCCGAGGGGTGCTGCTAGTGATGGATGCAGACCTCGCCGCGCTAGGCCCTGTACAAGCACAGAATAAAAAGTCTTCGCCCCCAAAGATATTGCAAATAAAATCTAAGACCTAAAAGAACAGCTGAATCCCCAGAGGCGGGAAAGGCTGGTTTTGTTCTCTCTGCGCTTTTACACAGGCAAGAGGCAGGCAGGGCTGGCTGACTGTAGTTGAACATTTTCAGGAATGAAAAACGGCTGTGATTTTGCACTCTTCTTTTAAAAAGTTAGGCTGCTTTATTTCCAGGGCAGACCTTTGTTGCAATGCTGAAAAGCACTATAATTCTCCCACCTGTTGTTTTTCCTTATTGCTCGCTCAAGCTCGCTCTCCTATACGCACATCCTGCTCGCACACGGAAGCTGCTGGGAACATGGCTGGTGATTTAATTCTGCTTGCGGCTGTCTCTCTTCTTTCCGCCTTCCAGCAATGTAAGATCTGTGGGGTTGCGTGGCTGGGGCGTGGGGAGGTTTCCACCGGTTCTGAAGTCCTGGAAATGATTTTATGATAAACTGGCTGCTCTGTAACTTCAGCTTCTGAGACCTCCTAAGAGTTTTCTCACCGGAGCACTGTTTACCCTCTCTGCAGTCTGAGAGGGAGCTGGCTCAGTGGGACAGATTACTTTTCCCTGTGGGAGAAAGTAGTTTGGTTTCAATTCTATTTTGTTTGCTGACTTTTTGGAATCATACTATTGTGAGAGCTTGTAACTAGCTGTAAAGTTACCCCAAAGCCACATCGTGTCTTGGTTTTGATTCTTATTTAGGCACATATACAAGCGAAAACCTCAAAAGTGAGAGTAAATTTGTGAAATCAAATACACTAATGCTGGACTGAAAGTGTTGTAAAAACTGTTTCCTGAAACAGATACATACTAAGTATTCGAAATGAAAGAAGAAAGCAAACCTTTACACCAGGCAGCAATAATATGAGATATTCCATATTATGTCCTCATCATTACATTTCTTTAAGATCTAAATGGATTTATGTTATCCCCCGCTGATATGCTTCTGAGAATCAAGGACTAGGTCTTTTTGCTGTGTATCAGTCTAAAACTGCAGTAGCATTTTTAATGCTTGTCATTATTTTCTTTGAAATACGTTGATTCATATAGCTGTGCTTACACCAGGAAACAAGATACATTTTGAAGGCATTTGTGCTATACTAGTATGAGATTCAGAGCAAGTGAATAATAATCACTCTGCCTTTTTTTTCAAGCATCTATAGCACTGCCAACTTATCTAGCAACCTATCTATGTGGCTTGATTGTTTGTTTATTTGTTCTCAAAGCCTCAACTACTGAAATAACATTTGTACCCAGCAGAAAAAAAGCTTGAGAACGTGACCCTTCCAGGTTAAAAAAAGCCCAACACAACAGAAGGCAAATAAAAAGCACCTAAAATTTACATTCTCTTTTTCTGTCATCAGATCAGCTACAACATACTCTTGTGATCTTCACAGAACATTTCTATCTGGTGGCAATATTTACCATCAACTTCTGTGAAAGTTCAACTTGCCTGCCTTGATTTTTAATGTAAAAGTGTGAAGAATTAAAAACAAACAAACATACAGTACCCGCAAAAGTACTGCAGTTTGAAAACTCAAGGAATTGAAAACTGAAACTGCAAAGGGAGGGGGGACATACCTATGTTCTTCCTTGTGATGGTTAGTCCATATTAGTTAATCTCAGTTAAAATCACAGAAAAGACCAGATAACCTGGGTTTTAATTTACACTGGCAGTCTGACATCAAGCCCAAAGAGAAACCTGCGTAAGAATCTGATCTGCTGATCTGATTTAAATCAGCACAGCTTGGCTTACTTTCAGCATGCTTTCTAGCACGGGCAAACCAACTCAGATTAATTTATGGGAGTTCAAATGAACGTTGTGAAACCGGCACCGTAAGCACGTGTTACAACCAGTTCATGCAAGGGGAATCGCCCAGTGTCTGACCGCTTGCTGTGAACAAAATACACACAACATACACATCTGTTCTGTTTATTCCGCTGAGCCTCTGGTCCTGAGTTAGGAAGGTGCTAATGGGCAACAGGACCTCCCTGAAGCGGTGCAGGATGTCAGGTTTCACTTAGCAATCCATCAGAGGTACAAGATTTAGTGCCTCGGAACTATAAGTTATTCAAGGAATCAGGTCAGTCGAACATTAAGCTGTGCAAGAAATGCTCTAAGGTAGAAAGAAAGAGCAGAAACAATGCAGAAAGTGGTTTCCAGTCATGAATCCAGTTTTAAGCAGGTAAGATTTGCTTCAGAGATTAGTGTCTTGTAGACTGATGGGAAAACAAGGGAATCCAATGAAAGGACAGAGGGAATCCCAGTCATTGATCTAGGAGAGAACAGGAGGACAGGAGTCCCACTGCTCCTCTATTTTGAATTATCTCTCTGAACTAGCACCTTTTAAAATCACTCTTAGTAATTCCAGGACCCGGCAAGACATTATTAAAAATATTTGATTTTTTTTTTTTAAAGGTTGTTAGGCCAGGCCATGCAAATTAACATGCACTATCATACACTGCAATACAGGTAACAGCTTCTCTACAGGCTTTTTAACAGAGTAACGTCCCTTGAAAGCCTGCTTCGTCCCATATTTTCAGAGTAAAGATATTAACTCAGTAACCATAAATGCCACCTGAAGATAAAAGCAAAAAAAGGCAAACAAAGGCAAGGCAAGCATACTTTGTAACTACCTCAGTCATGTAATTTAGCCTGTGAGAACTGCACAACTTGATACAGGGGGAAGAAAAGGCTATGAAAGTCTCTGCTTACTCCTGCTGCAATGCTTTCTGGAGTCCTCGCGACAGCACCTCCAGTGGGTGGGGCAGAAGAGCTCTCCCACTGCTTTAGTATTTACTTTAGCCCTGTTAAACCATAATCACAAAACGTAAATTTGGAGTTACATCACTACTTTCCATTCACCAGAAAGGAACTAAAAGGCAAGTCCTACGCAGTTAACAAAAAATACAGTAATTATTCCTCTCCTGAGCTCTTTTCGAGTCCCTGGTTGTGCACACCGGGCTCACCTTTTCTTTTAAGGTGACAGACATGACTCTAGTTCTCCCGTTACGCAGTGCCACAGCTTGGTTTTCATTGGCATATGTAAGCCCACTTGTCCCTAATTGAAGCAAAGTTCCCATCAATCACAGTGGAAGCCACTAAAGAAGTGGATTTCATGATGGTCAGCCGTATTATCGTACGATCACAACCTGTTTCTGCGTTCGGTTAACCAGAGTCACCCACGTGCAAATCTTTGCCCCTCAAACTAGAGCCTTGCTGACCAAGCAATACCAAGGGCAAACCACGTTACAGCTGAGGCCAGGGTTATACCATGGCCTTGGCGATTTGCTTTGGTTAATTGTACTGAACAAACAAGAACGATTTGGCCCCTACAGTACCTTAATCTTCTTATTTCCCCCAGTAAGTTTACTTTGTCCAGCATCCACTCAAGGCTTTTTTTTTTTTTTCAGCTGATTTGGATGCAATGAGCTGCCTTGGCTTGCATTAATTCTTCAGTAGAAAAAAAAACAACCTGGTCCCAGACTGGTTGTAGGCATCGAATGGGTCGGTGTGGCCAGAAAATGAGGAACGCATTGCTGGCTAAAAACGCCATAGCACAAAACACTGTGGCTCAGCTACCACTTTGACTGATAAGCCAGGCAGGATTTGCCAGCACAGAGCATTTGTCATAAAAAATAGATAATTGTGAGGGCGACAGAAGTTAAAAACCAACTTTTCAGTTAAGTTTTCCAGGAGAATATTTCTCAGAGGTAATCCTTGTGCTTCCACAAGTTTCAGTCTCCCTGAAGCATGTTCCCTAAACCCTCCCCACTACCATTCTTCCCTTCCGAAAGGGCTGCAAGGTGGCAAATAACAGATGAATCACCAGGCATGACACGAGCTGCGTGGGTGGGAGTGGAGGCAGTCTTGCTGGATGCAAATACAATGAAAGGTCCTGTAAACCTGCCTTACGGAGAGATAGCTGAGATGCTCTGACTAGTCTCTGGAGAGAAAGGTTCAGATGCTGCTTGAACACAGCCTGTAATTACTTATACGGGGAGAAGACAGACGGGAAAACGCTTTTTTTGGGAAAAGGCTTTGGCCACAAGGCTAAGGTATAAGGGGTGCACAGGGCAGCACCACCCATATCTCTAGCTGTATTTTAATGCCACTGCTCCCAGAAGGGAGGACGGGAGATATGCTCTAGGCTTGCCTCTTAGACAAGTCTTGTTAGTGAGCTCAGGTGGGTGCCTGGTTTCTGGACCCAGGTAAACTTTGGGTACAAGGTAGATAGCGAGCTTGTCATACAGGGTGGCTATGACAGCCAGAAAAATAATTCCAGGTACCCAGGTAGTTTTAAAGTCAAACAGGGTGATGCCCAATAGCTCTGCTGCATACAGAAAATTGCTGTCTGTGTATTGCCTTTTGTCCTTGAGAGCTTCTTGTTCAACTGTTAGGGGGAGACTTCTGCAATGAGGAGATCAGTACAATGAGGTATACATATACACGTCAGAAGTGATCCTAGAAATAGAGGTCAGAAGCACAGAGATTGTTTGATTGGTTTGGGGTTTTTTGGTAAGCAACTGATATTTAGTCACTGTACAGTAAGTAACCTCTCTTCTTCATGGTACTGCATCAGTTCTAAAAAATGCCTTTGACAAGACAGGTAAGTACTATCAGCTCCAGTTCAGTGGAGGTGGGAACAGCATAGGTCCTCCAACAGATAGCTCTCAGAGCTCTCCAGCAGATGAGGTGGAGAGCAGGGAACAGGCTACAGCCTCCGCAGTTGCAGCTCTCCGCTCTTTCCAACTTACTGAATTTTGTGAGTCCGAGACAATAACAACAGATGGAAAAGCATGCGCTATAAGAGATGAGTAAATAACTTTAAAAAGGTGCCTACCAGATTTTCATTTCCAAAGACTGTAATGCTGCCCCATACTCCAAAGCATCGTAGCTCTTAGCGTCACTAAACCAAAATGACCGTATGCTATTCAAGCAAGTAGGGAAGTGGCCTCCCTCGGGGCGGTTTGGTCACTGAGGTGCTGCTAAGGCAGCGCACTGCCACTGTGGTGTGGCTAGACCGCTCCTAGGCTGTGCAGTTCTAGGATTCAGGTGAGGCGGACGGATATTTAAGTCATAGCTAGTGTAGCAAATGCAAAAAGAGGATGAATGTATTTCTGAAATAGCAATTTTTCCTCTTCCTCATGCGTAAGTCACTCTTGAAGATAAGAT